ATCTGAGGAAAGGGGGAACTAGCTATTATTTGAGTGAGATTTGGTCTCACTATCAGATTAGGAAGAAGATTATCTGAGCTAAGTATTAAGAATCATGGAGAAATGTGATCCTTCCATACTTCTGGCTATTAACCCCCATCCCTCCAGATTTTTGCCATATCTGGATGCCATGCATACTATTCAACACTGACTCATTTTTAAAGTTTAAATTTCATCATGAGGGTTAATTCCTGAGAAAACATAGTTTTATTATGTTAATTCGGTTTTTTTTTGTAATGTAGGTTGAAATATAAATTGTCTATTAAAATTTAAACTATCTAAGTTCCACCAATATTATCCCATGTTCCACCAGTGAGAGTAGGACACATTCCAGAGAGCCTGTGACCTGGGGCTGGTGAGCCCCTATCTTTTGCCTCATCTCAGCAAATTTGCTGAATGTACAGTCTGTCAAAGACACTCCAGTCCTGGAATTCCCCTCTGCAACCTTTAGACCAACTGTTCTTTCAATCCCTGTTGGGTACCCCCAGGGTTGTGAATAGCCCCATGTGGCAGCCATAGAGGCTCAGGACAGTTCTGTGCCTGTCCCAGATTGGACTCCTTGAAGCTCTGCTCCTTGCTCCTGCTTCTCACTTTTAGAATCTATTCCTCCTTACATCCTTTCCAGATTTAGGGACAGCTGTCACGTGCCTCTAGAGGCTGAGCAGCAATGAGCAGGATGGGCTCTCTTCTGTTGTGGTTATGACACTTTTATTAGTGATGTCTGTAAAAATAATACATTGCTTTCATTGATGGACACTTCTCTGAGCAAGGAGTTGTGCTGAGCCCTGCATAGGTGGGACCTCTGTTCAGCCTTATGGCCATCCTGGTTACTGATGCAGTTTGTTCCCACTTTAAGGGCAATGACGTTAGATTGAAAAAATACTTCAGGATACAGGCCATGCTAAAAATTCATACTGGTCTTATCTCTGTCTAAACCTCTAAACCCCCAAGTTTTTTCTCTATCAACACTGTTTAGCCAAGTCTACACACCTTATTTTTGCACAGTTGGTGTTGGGGGCTCAGGGGAAGGAGCTTCCATTTGGTTCTGTTATATTTCACTCTGTAGGATCTGCTCCATCACATGAGACTGCTGAAATCTTTTTGGATCCCAGCTATATCATATGACATGTTTCTATCTTTCTCAACTAAGTGTCATCAGAAAATTTGATGAGCATACAGCCTTTATTTTCATCCTAGTCATTGATAAAAATGTTGAATAGGAAAGAGCTAGGGGACTGAATTCTCTGGATGATGTTATACATCAGTGTCAGTTTATTACCACTCTTTGCGTAGTGGCATTATGGTAGCTATTAAGTCATCCTAATTGTCCAGGTCTGCACATATTTCTCCATCTTATCAATGAGATACTATGAGAATTTTGAGGATGAGAGGGAAGATGTGCAACAGTTAGCCTTGCCCAAAGAAAGGCCTGGCTCTTGCCCAGCTCCTGAATGGTAATCTCTAAGACCTTGGAATGTCCTGGCTTGATAAGAGTGTTTTTGTTTACCTGGAGGCCTTGGGTCATGCTAGATAGTCTATATCAACAATATGATTTAGGTGGGGACCTTGGACCACATGGTATTAGCTTGACTTCTGGAGGAGCTAAGATCAGCCATGTCTACATGACCAACCCCAGTAAAAACCCTGGACTGCAAGGCTTGGGTGAGCTTTCCTGGTTGACCATGCTCTGGGCATGTTGTAATGTAGTTGGTAGGACAAACAGGCAGCATCTGTGTGATTCCTCTGGGGGAGGACAACCGGAAGCTCATGCCTGGTCTTTCCTGAACCCTGCCCTATGTACTTCTTCCCTTTGCTGATTTTAGTCTGCATCCCTCCATGATAATAAACATGTAATGGAGTACAATGCTCTTCTAAGTTCTAGAAGTCCTTTTAGGGAATCATTGAACCTGAGGGTAATCTGGAGGACCCCTGAATTGCAACCAGAATCTCTAGACCGTATGAATGTGTTTTTCTTTGAAGCCAGAGGATTGAGTTCTAGCTAGGCTGCTGCTTGGGTCTGCTTGTAGGTTCCCTAAATGCCTCCTTCAAAACATAAAAAGAGAAGTTAGTAGGAGGCCTTTCACTTCTGCACAGAGCAGCCTCCTCCCTGGCCAACCCCCGGGCCTGAGCTTCCCCTGTTGGTTGCCCCATGTGGATTAATGGGCACTCATTTCAAACTACTGTAGGTGAGATGTTTATTATATTATCCAAGCTTGGGTCTCAGCTTGTGTCTTTTAGAAAATTCTTTGCTGGGCAGCCCGGGTGGCTCAGCGGTTTAGCACCACGTTCAGCCTAGGGCCTGATCCTGGAGACCCGGATCGAGTCCCATTGTCGGGCTCCCTGCGTGGAGCCTGCTTCTCCCTCTGCCTGTGTCTCTGCCTCTCTCTCTCTCTGTGTGTGTGTCTCATGAATAAATAAATAAAATCTTAAAAAAAGAGAATTCTTTGCTAAAATTCAAATGTTAATGGGAAATCATACACTAAGCTATTATTACCCATTCAAATTCAGATTAAATTAATCAGTTCACATATAGAACTGGACTCTCCTTAAGATGGATTCCAGAAAATGGAAGTTTGATACAGGCACTGCTGGGGCTTTTCCATCCAGTTTGAGAGTGAAGTTTTTGCTGAGGGGAGGATGGTGGAAGCCAGGTTGATGAAGTCCCCACAGGGGAAGTGTGAGTGTTGGGAGACCAAAGGAGGAGTGTGTTGAAGCAGACTGATGGAAAGCAGAAAGCAAGCTAGGGGCAAGCCTTAATTTAGTTAGAAAATCAAAGGACACAAACCAGAACTTTATTCCTAGTTTGGCATCCATAAGGGCAAGTGGATGATGATTTTTTAGAGGGTGGACCTTTGTCAGGGGTGATGGGGAAGTGGACCCAAGCTGGGCATGTGGCACAGGTATGACTCCAGAGAAAGAGGGGGTGATCATGGGGGTGATTCCTTTCTATATAGGGTTTTTACCTCAGTCTGTGCTACACAATTCCAGCGAGCTGAACCAAGACACCCTTTCAAATGGGGACAATTTTTGGGGTATCTGTGTGGCTCAGCAGTTGAGTGTCTGTCTTTGGCTCAGGTCATGATCCTGGGGTCCTGGGATCAAGTCCTGCATTGGGCTCCCTGCAGGGAGCCTGCTTCTCCCTCTGGCTATGTCTCTGCCTCTCTGTGTCTCTCATGAATAAATAAATAAAATATTTGAAAAAAACAAATGGGGACAATTTTACGCGAATGCTAACTAACGTAAGAGAGTATGACTACCCTCAGTTATATCATCAGAAGTCATTTTTATAAAATCTTACCATGAGGCTAGTTTTTATTTAAACTTTTCAAGATATATATTGGGAAGTTTTATTCCCCCCACCTCTCCCTTTTCTTTATCCTGTAGTCAAGGAGCATTGAGTAATCTACTCTTAAGATAATTAAATGGAACCCAGGAGGATCATAGATCATGTGCCCTGAAAAGCTCCACCCCTCATAGAAGGTGGAAATCCTTAGGAGTCTTCTTTCCTTCCCTTCTATCATTGAAGTGGTAAGAAGTGTAAGGAGACAAGAGGGGATCAATCACCACCACAGCCTAAGTAAACGTGAGATGTTATAATCAGTTCCTGGCATGAAGTCTTCACATTTAAAGCCATTAAGAGTGGAAGTTTCTGGAGGGCAGAAACCACACAAATTTGTCCTTGAACTTGAGGGCTCGGCCAGGCCTGGCATTGAGGAGGGAGTGACTAAGATGCTGCCTGACTCTTGTCTCAGGCCTTTGGGACATTGAGGCCAAGGGTGGGATCAAGAAATGCAAACTCTCTTTCCTCCCTCACCACAACGTGCTTGGGCAGCTGCCAGTTGGATGACTTGACACTCATGAAGGCTCCCCCAACTCTGCATGGGGTGTTGGCTGGGAGCCGAGGCCTTTCTGTCTAGCTGTGCTCTCAAACAGTCATGAAACTCAGTGAGCTCACTCTCCAATTTCACACACTTAAGTTGTGCTGGGAATCTGCTGGGCCCAGTTGTGGAGTTAAAAATTGTCAGACATCACACACACAGGCTGCTCCTGGCAATGTAATCAATATGGTCCAAATCAATACAGTCAATCCCCAGCTGGGAATCCTCTGGGGATCTTGCAACAATGCAGATTCTGATTCAGGAGCTCTGGGGTGGGGTCCAGCAAGCTCCCTGGTGATGCCCCCAACCATGCTCTGAGAAGCTGGCACCTAACGGACACTTAGGGGTTGACATAGGGAGGAGGACTAGGTGACCATGTCGCCACTAGAATCCTTCTCACAAGCTCAAGTGGAAGGCACAGAAAGATAATGGATCCTATATCAGTCTAGAGGAGACTCAGCCAGGGCAGGTTCATGGAGCTCCATTACCTGGATCACCGTGTTTCCAGCAGCAAGAGGCAGAGTGGTGTCACAGTTAGTGCCTGTGCTTTGGTGCCAGCTTGCCTCTTTGAGAGCTGTTCTTATGGCTTCACATCTCCATGTCTCAGTTTTGTCATTTGTAAAACAAAGATGGAGTGAAAATAGGGTGAAAGTTAACAGGTTACATAAGGGACGCTGCTTGTAGAAGATGTCCCATGAAGTTATTTTCCCTCTTACTCGGAGCTCCAGTCCCTGAGCCTGGGACCTCAGGGGGCCCTGGGCTTCTGTGCCCTGCCCGCACGGTTGTGCAAGCACTCTCGGGTCTCCTGTTACCCGGGAGCCGGCAACAGACCAAAATAAATGGAGGGGACAGGCGGGGAGGGCCGAGTGAGCCTCTGCAGGGAGTCTGACCAGGTCAGCTGGGAATGCCTGTCAGCCATCCAGGGTGGCTCCTGCGTGGGCCTGGAGGTGGGTGAGTGACTCATGCTGGTGCCCTCTCCACCCCCGCGCCCAAATGCTCAGCCTTCCCTGGGCTGGGGCTCACCTAATCCCCACAGTGGGAGTCGGGGGGCCTTTGCGCCTGAGCTGAGGTCTAGGGTTGCACCACGGTGACTTCACACGCAGCAGCATGTGTGGCTGAGCCTCCGTGCAGCAGCCTCCTGCGAGGTGGGCAGCGAGGTCAGCCTGGCAGCCGTTGCCTCTCTCTAGCCCCGATCTGGCCGCAGGCAGCTGGTTCCCTGGGACCCGAGGAGGGGATGGCGGAACAAGAAGCCAGTGGGCTGCAGGTCCTGCTGCGCACGCTTCAGGTAGGAAGAGGTGGAGGGGATTGGGGCCTGGCAGGCTCAGGCTTGCTGGCCAGCCTGCTCGGGACTGTGCTCCCGCGGTCCCCTCTGGCACCAGTAGCTGGTTTGCCAACCAGCGGGAGCACAGGAGCCAGCAGCAGCTCTCACCTTGAGGCTGACCTAAGTGATGCTATGGTCTTTAAATATTAACTACAACGATGTCGATGAGTGTGCTCTGCTTAAATTATTGAACCTGGTGAGATTAGAGGCCTGGGCTGAAAGATCCGGGTTTGCTAGAGATGGGAAAGATGGAAAAAAATGTCTGTGTGGCAGATGAACACTTGGCAGGAGACCTGCTGGGAGTGCCTAGAACAGCCTGGGAGGAAAAGAGTACTAGCAGGGGAGAGGACTCCTCTGGGTTTCTCCTGCTACATGGCTATTGCAGGGTGCCCAGAGAGGGGTCCGCATCAGGACTGCCTAAGGATGTGTGCTAAGTATGCATCTTTCCAGGTGGAATGTGTCCAGAATGGTTGGGAATCACCAGGGTCAGCAGCCTGGTAATCTGCCTCTTCCTGGGGGATCCTGTTCATTACTGACTTTGAGAATTCTTATCCTAGAATGGTAGTCTGCAAAGTAGTCTACACCCTAGAATCACCTGCAGAGTGTTAAAAAAAATGGTGGCACCTAGGATCTATTCACCAAAATTTGGATTCAACTGGTCTGGGGAGCAGCCTGAGCATTGAAGTTTGAAAACTTCTTGGGTGGGCTCAGTGCACAGTTAGGGCCTGGAACCACCAGTCTAAGGTTTGGGTAGATGCTTGCACTTAATCCGATTGTAGGAATGCCAGGCTCACGGAGGTGGAAGAGGTCTTTTGCTACAGGTTTCTAGACCTGAACGGGTCTCACGAGAGGATGGGCTTCAGGGATCCTGTGACTCCACCCTCTGATTTAAAATGTAGATGTTTTGTACTGACGGTTCATCTTACCCTGCTATGAAAAGCTGACTTAGTTTTCCTCTAACTCTTTTTTTTTTTTTTTTTTAATTTTTTATTTTTTATAAATTAATTTTTATTGGTGTTCAATTTACCAACATACAGAATAACACCCAGTGCTCATCCCGTCAAGTGTCCCCCTCCGTGCCCGTCACCCATTCACCCCCACCCCCCGCCCTCCTCCCCTTCCACCACCCCTAGTTCATTTCCCAGAGTTAGAAGTCTTTATGTTCTGTGTCCCTTTCTGATATCTCCCACACATTTCTTCTCCCTTCCCTTATATTCCCCTTCACTATTATTCATATTCCCCAAATGAGTGAGAACATACACTGTTTGTCCTTCTCCGATTGACTTACTTCACTCAGCATAATACCCTCCAGTTCCATCCACGTTGAAGCAAATGGTGGGTATTTGTTGTTTCTAATGGCTGAGTAATATTCCATTGTATACATAAACCACATCTTCTTTATCCATTCATCTTTCGATGGGCACCGAGGCTCCTTCCACAGTTTGGCTATTGTGGACATGGCTGCTAGAAACATCGGGGTGCAGGTGCCCCGGCGTTTCATTGCATCTGAATCTTCGGGGTAAATCCCTAACAGTGCAATTGCTGGGTCGTAGGGCAGGTCTATTTTTAATTCTTTGAGGAACCTCCACACAGTTTTCCAGAGTGGCTGCACCAGTTCACATTCCCACCAACAGTGTAAGAGGGTTCCCTTTTCTCCGCATCCTCTCCAACATTTGTTGTTTCCTGCCTTATTAATTTTCCCCATTCTCACTGGTGTGAGGTGGTATCTCATTGTGGTTTTGATTTGTATTTCCCTGATGGCAAGTGATGCAGAGCATTTTCTCATGTGCATGTTGGCCATGTCTATGTCTTCCTCTGTGAGATTTCTCTTCATGTCTTTTGCCCATTTCATGATTGGATTGTTTGTTTCTTTGGTGTTGAGTTTAATAAGTTCTTTATAGATTTTGGAAACTAGCCCTTTATCTGATATGTTATTTGCAAATATCTTCTCCCATTCTGTAGGTTGTCTTTGAGTTTTGTTGACTGTATCCTTTGCTGTGCAAAAGCTTCTTATCTTGATGAAGTCCCAATAGTTCATTTTTGCTTTTGTTTCTTTTGTTTTCGTGGATGTATCTTGCAAGAAGTTACTGTGGCCAAGTTCAAAAAGGGTGTTGCCTGTGTTCTCCTCTAGGATTTTGATGGAGTCTTGTCTCACATTTAAATCTTTCATCCATTTTGAGTTTATCTTTGTGTATGGTGCAAGAGAGTGGTCTAGTTTCATTCTTCTGCATGTGGATGACCAATTTTCCCAGCACCATTTATTGAAGAGACTGTCTTTCTTCCAGTGGATCGTCTTTCCTCCTTTGTCGAATATTAGTTGACCATAAAGTTCAGGGTCCATTTCTGGATTCTCTATTCTGTTCCATTGGTCTATGTGTCTGTTTTTGTGCCAGTACCACACTGTCTTGATGACCACAGCTTTGTAGTACAACCTGAAATCTGGCATTGTGATGCCCCCAGCTATGGTTTTCTTTTTTAAAATTCCCCTGGCTATTCGGGGTCTTTTCTGATTCCACACAAATCTTAAAATAATTTGTTCTAAGTCTCTGAAAAAAGTCCATGGTATTTTGATAGGGATTGCATTGAACGTGTAAATTGCCCTGGGTAGCATTGACATTTTCACAATATTAATTCTGCCAATCCATGAGCATGGAATATTTTTCCATCTCTTTGTGTCTTCCTCAATTTCTTTCAGAAGTGTTCTATAGTTTTTAGGGTATAGATCCTTTACCTCTTTGGTTAGGTTTATTCCTAGGTATCTTATGCTTTTGGGTGCAATTGTAAATGGGATTGACTCCTTAATTTCTCTTTCTTCAGTCTCATTGTTAGTGTATAGGAATGCCATTGATTTCTGGGCATTGATTTTGTATCCTGCCACGCTACCAAATTGCTGTATGAGTTCTAGCAATCTTGGGGTGGAGGCTTTTGGGTTTTCTATGTAGAGTATCATGTCATCAGCGAAGAGGGAGAGTTTGACTTCTTCTTTGCCAATTTGAATGCCTTTAATGTCTTTTTGTTGTCTGATTGCTGAGGCTAGGACTTCCAATACTATGTTGAATAGCAGTGGTGAGAGTGGACATCCCTGTCTGGTTCCTGATCTTAGGGGAAAGGCTCCCAGTGCTTCCCCATTGAGAATGATATTTGCTGTGGGCTTTTCGTAGATGGCTTTTAAGATATCGAGGAAAGTTCCCTCTATCCCTACACTCTGAAGGGTTTTGATCAGGAATGGATGCTGTATTTTGTCAAATGCTTTCTCTGCATCTAATGAGAGGATCATATGGTTCTTGGTTTTTCTCTTGCTGATATGATGAATCACATTGATTGTTTTACGAGTGTTGAACCAGCCTTGCATCCCGGGGATAAATCCTACTTGGTCATGGTGAATAATTTTCTTAATGTGTTGTTGGATCCTATTGGCTAGTATCTTGTTGAGAATTTTTGCATCCATGTTCATCAGGGATATTGGTCTGTAATTCTCCTTTTTGGTGGGGTCTTTGTCTGGTTTTGGAATTAAGGTGATGCTGGCCTCATAGAATGAGTTTGGAAGTACTCCATCTCTTTCTATCTTTCCAAACAGCTTTAGTAGAATAGGTATGATTTCTTCTTTAAACGTTTGATAGAATTCCCCTGGGAAGCCATCTGGCCCTGGACTCTTGTGTCTTGGGAGGTTTTTGATGACTGCTTCAATTTCCTCCCTGGTTATTGGCCTGTTCAGGTTTTCTATTTCTTCCTGCTCCAGTTTTGGTAGTTTGTGGCTTTCCAGGAATGCGTCCATTTCTTCTAGATTGCCTAATTTATTGGCGTAGAGCTGTTCATAATATGTTTTTAAAATCGTTTGTATTTCCTTGGTGTTGGTAGTGATCTCTCCTTTCTCATTCATGATTTTATTAATTTGAGTCTTCTCTCTCTTCTTTTTAATAAGGTTGGCTAATGGTTTATCTATCTTATTAATTCTTTCAAAGAACCAACTCCTGGTTCTATTGATCTGTTCCACAGTTCTTCTGGTCTCAATTTCATTGAGTTCTGCTCGAATTTTAATTAACTCTCTTCTTCTGCTGGGCGTCGGGTCGATTTGCTGCTTCTTCTCTAGCTCCTTTATGTGTAAGGTTAGCTTTTGTATTTGAGTTCTTTCCAGTTTTTGAATGGATGCTTGTATTGCGATGTATTTCCCCCTCAGGACTGCTTTTGCTGCATCCCAAAGATTTTGAACAGTTGTATCTTCATTCTCATTAGTTTCCATGAATCTTTTTAATTCTTCCTTAATTTCCTGGTTGACCCTTTTATCTTTTAGCAGGATGGTCCTTAACCTCCATGTGTTTGAGGTCCTTCCAAACTTCTTCTTGTGATTGAGTTCTAATTTCAAGGCGTTATGGTCTGAGAATATGCAGGGGACGATCCCAATCTTTTGGTATCGGTTCAGACCCGATTTGTGACCCAGTATGTGGTCTATTCTGGAAAAAGTTCCATGTGCACTTGAGAAGAATGTGTATTCAGTTGAGTTTGGATGTAAAGTTCTGTAGATATCTGTGAAATCTATCTGGTCCAGTGTATCATTTAAAGCTCTCGTTTCTTTGGAGATGTTGTGTTTAGAAGACCTATCAAGGGTAGAGAGAGCTAGATTGAAGTCACCAAGTATAAGTGTATTATTATCTAAGTATTTCTTTACTTTGGTTAATAATTCGTTTAAGTATTTGGCAGCTCCCACATTCGGGGCATATATATTGAGGATTGTTAAGTCCTCTTGTTGGATAGATCCTTTAAGTATGATATAGTGTCCCTCTTCGTCTCTCACTACTGTCTTCGGAGTGAATTTTAGTTTATCTGATACAAGGATGGCTACCCCTGCTTTCTTTTGAGAACCATTTGAATGGTAAATGGTTCTCCAACCTTTTATTTTCAGGTTGTAGGTGTCCTTCTGTCTAAAATGAGTCTCTTGTAGACAGCAAATAGATGGGTCCTGCTTT